GGTTTAGGGTTTAGGGGGTTATAAGTGGGGTTATAAGTAGGGTAACTGTCATTATAACCCACATTAGGGGACTTATATCTCCACTCAAAACTACCCATGAACCTCCAAGTAGGGCTTAGGGCTGTGGCAGCCTGAAACCTACAATAACCGACATCCTACGCCCCAAAGCCGGAACCGCAAGCACCTAAACCCGGTCATACACCCCGAAACCGAATCCTCCACCATTGGGTTTAGGGTTTAGGGTTCAGGGTTAGGGTTCAGGGTTTAGGGTACAGGGGTTTAGGGTTTAGGGTTTAGGGTTTCAAGCTCCAAACCTAAACTAAAAACTCTGAGCCCGCCGCTGTATTCAGCACTAAAGCACAAGTCCAACAAATCCCTAAACACCTAAATCCCTAGACACAAGAGCCTAAACCCTAAACCCTAAACCCTAGACACTCGACCCCTATGAATCCCTAGACCCCTAGAAATCCCTAGACCCCCGAAGCCTAAAATCCCACAAACCCCCCCGGAATCTGCCAGGAGCTCGAGCGTGACAAGAAGCGCAAGGAGCTCGAGATGAAGGTGGTCCGAAACCCTAAATCCGAAAACCGCAAGGCTAAACTCCAAAACCCTGGCTTTCTAGGTTCAGGCATTAAGGATCTTAGCATTCCGGATTTAGAAGTTGCAGCTTAGGATGCCCCGAAAGACATAAACCATCATAAACCTGAGCCGATTTGATCTTTAAACCCGGAACCGCACCCTGTGCCCTGAAACCTCAATCACTCCCCATCCCGAACGGCTCTCCTCATCAAGAGCCGAACCTTAAACACAAAACCCCAAATAATCCTTAATCCCTAAACCTTTAAATCCCTACACAACTACCCCTAAACCCCTAAACCTCTAGACCCTCAGCGCTAAACCCCAAAGGCCCCTAAGCCCTAAACCCCGCCAGGCCCGACGCGCTAAACCCTAAACTCTATAAGCCCTAATTGCAAGTTCATGGGTAGTTATAAGTGGGGTATAAGTAGGGTAACTATTTTTATAATCCATATTAGGGGACTTATAACTCCACTTACAACTACCCATGAACCTCCAAGTAGACCCTAAACCGTAAACTCTAAACCCTAAACTCTAAACCCTAAACCCTAGACCCTAAACCCTAAACTCTAAACCCTAGACCCTAAACCCTAAACCCTAAACCCTTAATCCTAAACCCTAAAAAAAGAATCTAGACCCTGAACCCCACCAGGCCCGCGCGTCTCGGCGTGAGCAAGAGCTGAAGGCTCGGCCGTGGGAGGGGCTTTCAAGAGGGTTTTATGAGGGTCTGGGGTTTAGGGTTTAGGGTTTTTGAGGGTGTTATGATGGTTTGAAGGTATTTGGGTTTTGAGGATTTGAAGTTATGATGGTGTTGCGAGGGGATTATGAGGGTTTCATTGAAGCTTTTCGGATATGAGTGTTATATCATTATTTTTCGGTGGATTTCGGAAGGATTCAATGGGGCCACTGAAGGGTTGTCTAGTATTTTTTCTCTTTGGGACGGGGATTGGGGCCCCAAACCCTAATCCCAAAACCCCTAAAGCCTAAAGCCTAAACTTCTAAACCCAACCCTAAACCTTAAAAGATATGGGTTCCGGGACTGGGCTTTCAATCCCGAAACCCCTAAACCTTAAACCCCTAAACCCTAAATCCCCACACTCTAAGCCCTGGAATCCTTACACTCTAATTAGGGGGTTTAGGGTTTAGGGTTTAGGATTAAAAGTTGAGGCTTAATTCTAAAACCCTACAACCCGCAATCCCAAAACTCCAAGCCATTAACCCTAAACTCGAACTCTGCGGGGCTCTCGGGTCGAACATAGGTTCTACGGCTTCGACTTTCCACACGCTTCCTTGGGCCTTTTTTGGCGCAATGCGTGGTTTGTTCAAGACTGGTCGGAGGTTGTACAAGGTTCTACATAGTGGTTCAGGGCAGGCTGGTTTATGATACAATGTAATTAGCTTGCAGGTATTAGCAATGGGTTCACGGTTCGGTTCAGGGGTCTAACATCGCTTAGAGAACAGAAGAATACCTTGCAGAAGCTTCAGTTCGGATGATGATTTTGTGACGTGAGAGGTGCAGCGCCAAACGCATGCTAGTTTCAAGAGAGGTTGGATGTGAATCAGGCCATTGCAAGGTGGAGGTGAATATGGCCATCACCAGGTCTTGAAAACATGGGACTGCGATCAAGCAGACACTGTACTCAAGCGGTTTTCATCAGCGGCTAACTTTCCGTCACGCAGCCAGCGTCCGCAGCTCGGCCCTATGTAGTTCCAGACTGTCCCCAAAGTGTTCCTGAACCCAAAGATATGAAACCCATTGAAGCCCGAAAAGTCCAACATCGACTGTGTCTGAAAGCCCTCTGTCCACCCCTCGCGTCTGACAGGAAGAGGTACTTCAGATGAAGCGCCCGCCTGAGGTCAATGCGACATGTGTGAATCTCCGAATCGGTTTCATTGCTAAGAGTGCTATGCTGTAATATGATGCTAGTTCTTGTCTTATCATTGTTGCTAGGGGGTATGATGATAATCATATGATGGTGACGATGATGATAATGATTGCAGCCGGCATTGTTGCTCATAGCTTGTGATGTTGAGCTGTTTCTGCTGCGTATCATTTACGGGGTATGTGCTGTTGCTCACCAAGTCAAAAATCTCGACCTAAGAAGGCCTCTGGAGCTTGACCGATGATACATACTGGAATAGAAAACGACGCAGTGATGTATCGCGTTGTATGATTACAGCTGACAGGTAAAGATGTGCAGAAGTTGCAGATGGGTTCTGCATAGTGAGTATGTGATGAGTTCTAGTATTACAGTATGTAACAGTACGACGAGTACGAGAACTGCAAGCATAACTCATCTTCTGGCTAGCAGTTATTGCTTCAAGTCAGGTGACGAAGAAGGCTGGATGTGTACTAGTGTATGTGGGGGTTTCCGAAAATAGGGGACCCTAATATAGTACCCTAAATAGTAGGATCCTCATTATAAGGACCCCAAAATAAGGTACCCCTTGTTTCCGGAAACTCCCAAATATAGTGGCTATAAACCCTGAACCCTAAACCCTAAACCCTGAACCCTAAACCCTAAACCCTAAACCCTGATAAGGTACCCCTTGTTTCCGGAAACTCCCATACAGTGATATGCCGTGTGTTTGTCGGTAGGAAGAAGGGCCCGGAGAGATCAGCTACACCTGGTCGTACGAAGAAGAAGCCTACACCTACACCCGAATACTAACAGTATAGGGTTTAGGGTTTAGGGGTTTAGGGGTTTAGGGGTTTAGGGGTTTAGGGTTTAGGGTTTAGGGTATATATAGGGTTTAGAGTTCAGAAGAAATCTCCAATCTCCGCAGCCGCCTCAGGCTGCAACAGCGGCAGGCACGCAATCTGGCGAGATAGGGTCGGTAATATGACTCCTTGTCATTGCGGCTACCATCGAGGTTTCCAGGAATGATACTTTGGAGAGGTCCTCCTGGTACCCACACACCCTACACTTGCCTAAACCCTCTCAACTCTAAACCTAGACCCTACAACACAGAAGCCTAAAACGCTTAACCCTCAACCTCCAAATCTCAATCGAAAATTCCGAAACCCTAAACCCTAATCCCTAATCCCTAAACCCTAATCCCCAAATCCCTAAACCCTAAATCCCTAAACCCTAATCCCTAAACCCTAATCCCCAAATCCCTATACCCTAAATCCCTGACCCCTAATCCCTAAACCCTAATCCCTAAATCCTTAAATCCCTGAACCCTAGACCTTATAAACCCTAATCCCTAAACCCTACATCCTACACCCTAAACCCTACACC